GGGTCATGTACCAGCTATTGCTTTTGGTCAAATATCTTTTGAAATGTCAGTGAAGAGACGAGAGATGGCTTGCTGGAAATCCTTAATTCAGAGCATGCATTAAAGGCAGAATAGCATTGTCTTAAAATAGGTAATTGTGACAAAGAGGAAAGTTTCATTTTCTGTCTCAGTGGTTCCATGGGAATTTCTAGTACAATTAAAAACGGTCTTTGTATTTTTAGATGAGCCCAGTGAACCCAAAGAACGAGGAGAGTTTAACAATGAACGAGGAGAGAGAAAGGTCTGCAGATTCAAGCTTGACTGGTTGGGAAATTGCTCTGGAATAAGTGATGAAACTTATGGCTACAAAGAGGGCAAACCATGCATCATTATAAAGCTCAACCGAGTTCTGGGCTTCAAACCTAAGGCAAGTAATACTTTAAATTACGGAATTTAGATGAGCCATTCGCGTTTTGGATGAAGTACTTAATTGATAGAAGACAGTATAAGAAAGTTTTATAGTCTACTTGGTATTGATTTTGAAGCTCCAGAGTAACACCCAAAACTTGAGTATCCTTCCTGAACTTGCTGTAGTTTGGTCATTAATCTCATTTTCTAAAGTTAGAGAGATTCTGAGTGGCAAAACCAAATTCTGAAGTGAGTCCTGTGACCCTTTTCTTTAATGTTTTTGCTCAGTATCCAAATAAGTTTCCATAACATAGACTGTCTAAAAGTAAAAAGAGAAAAGGTATTTTTGAATTAAAAAACTACCTGCAAGTGCAGTCATATTCCGGTTTTGGTCCCCTTGGAGCTACAAGAGTATTTCCAAGAAACTGTCTAGTAATCTGAAAAAATAAATTTTTTTTCTGAATGACAACTTCATTGCATAAATGGAAGGTGAACACCATCTAGGCTGAACTTTGATAACCATGCTGTTAGCTTTTGGTAATATTTCAACTAACAGTGGGTAAACATTACTTGAGATTACTGAAAAATGGCAAATTGCCATTGCTCACCATTTGGTGAGATTGTATTCATTCTTTAAATGAAGGAAAAATTTATTGGTGTTATCTCTGCTGTTGTAAAACTGGTTATTTCATTCTCTCCCCCAGTCATGAATTAATAGTGCTGTCCTTTTCCCGGCAGCATGGCTTCTTCCAGCAGGCTTGCCCTGATCACCTATATGAGCATTGCCATTAATGAGTGTGGTTTTTAATGTGATAGGAACTGACTACAGTATACTAAGTTATGGGAACAAACACATTTCTCTTCTGAAATCTGGCTTTTTTGTTGACTAATTTTCTGTTGAATACTATTAATGTGTTTCCATAATGCTTGCTACCCACGAGTAATATTTTCAAAAGAAAATCAATCTAGCTATGAAAAGTTTTAGCTTAACTGAAGGATGTATCTAAGCTCCTTTACTGCCACCAAAGGCAAAAATGAGTGAGTAGGTAGATGGATGATTGCCTGGATGACTGTCTTGATGGACATCTTGTAGAAATTAATGTGCCCCTCAACAGAACTTGAATCCTCTTTCCACTTACAATAGTATATAATGGAAGAAAAGTGGTGAGAACCATTATGCCATACTTGTATTTGCTATTCATATTGCTAGGGAACACTTCACCAAGATCCTACAGCTGTTTAGCAGCAAAAGGAATTGGTATGGTGTGGCCTAAGGAAGACTAATTCTAATCTCTGCTCTCTGAGTCCTTTGCTTTTGATATTCCTCTTCAAAGACACTGAGTGATATTTGTGCGCCACGGAGGCAGTCCATCTAGTCCATTGTGATTCATATCTCTTCCCACATCCACAGAGATATTCTATTAAGTGACGAATTCAGCAACTCTCCTTTTAGTCCTTTCTTTCTTTCTTCTTTGGTCTCCATTTGGTTATCTGTTGCTACCTCCTAATTTATCATGCCCATCTATTTCGTCATTTGAATTGTTTTTGTCAGAGACTGCAGTACCCCAGCATTTCGCTTGATGTGTCTGTTTCCTCATTCTACAAGAATAGACTGGCAATTTCTTTAATAAACAGCATTTTTTCTTCATATTTTTCAAGATAAATATATTGCTAGCAGAAAGTTCCAAGACAGTCAAATTTAGAAAATTATTTTCTTACATTCCAAAAGAGTAATACCAAAATATTAGTTCCTTACAGAACTGTCCATCTTATCTGCCTTTGATTCGACTGTGTATGTGCTACATCTCATATCAAGACTGACATGTTATGTGATACGAGTAAGCAAGTGGCTGTCTTCCCATGATATATGTTCATCATACTTCTTCTGGGATAGATTTGAGCTAGGGCTGTAGGAGAAAATGTTCTGCATATTTCACTACAGCAGTAATTTTCAAATTGTATTCTGGGTCCTTTAATAGGTTCAGTCCTTCATTTAGGGCAGTGGCACCTAAACCTGTTTTAATCCTATTGGAAAGAAACATTCCTTAAATGGCAGTGCCCCCCACCACCCATGGAGATTCAAAGAAAAAGGAAAGCCTACTTGAAGAAGGCATTCTTGGGGGAAAAGGATGACATTATTTATTCATGGCTCCGGAGGAAAGCACAAGTTTCATAAAAACAGAAATGTCAATCAGCCATCCCATGTAATTATTACATCTTGGTAAATGATGAGCATTATTTTGGGGTCAGCTCTTATTTTTCAGTATCCTTGAGTAAAGCTTATAATGGGTTACCATTATAAGTTTACTCACTACTGGGCTGCATTGCAGTGTAACTGGGGACTTACTTTGATTTCAACAGAATCACAAACATGACCTTTCCTAGATTGTTTAGGAGAGTCGTTTGTCCTTGTTATTTCGGTTGACTTATTGTGATCAGTGTGAACTTGTTTGGGCTACAAATTAGTTTTATTTTTCAGAAATCTAAAAAATTATTTGCAGTCTTACTGACCAACATGGGTTTTATTTTTAGCCTCCCAAGAATGAGTCCTTGGAGTCTTACCCACCAATGAAGTATAATTCAAATGTCCTGCCTGTTCTGTGCACTGGCAAGGTAAGGACACACTTAGGGTTACTAAGAGTGGGTGGGAGCATGGGGCAGGGGAAAAGGAGAGAATGAGTGAGATTGTTTTAAGTTAGAGGTAAAATTTTAATACGGTAAAGAGGAAAAATTGCTTTCAGGTATTAGTCTCAGTCAGTTGAGTTGTAGCTGTACTGTGTAAGACTTCTTAAAAGGACAGAGATGTAATAAGAATAAAGCCCCATGTTGGTTTCTCCACTGGCACAAGAAACTCAAATATTTGAATTTAATCCACTGGAATATTGGTTTATAGAACTGAGAGATGATCTAGACCACAGAATTGCTTCTCTCTGGCCCAGAGCAATGTATTAAAATTTGGGGGCCATTTTTTTTTTTTTAATAATGTCAAATAAAAATTTGTGGTTTAGGTTTCTCTTTAAAAAATCTGGAAAGGGCCGGCCCGTGGCTCACTTGGGAGAGTGCGGTGCTGGTAGCCCCAAGGCCACAAGTGCGCTCACTGAGCGTGGTGCGGAACACACCGTGCCGAGGGTTGCAATCCCCTTACTGGTCAAAAAGAAAATGTGGAAAGATTGAGGTAATGATTGGTACATGATCTCTTTAGATCTAAAAACAGGTACCTGATGAATAGTTTAGAGAGGGCAGAATAAAGAAAGGGAATACCAAACAGTGCCATTTTATGCCAGCACCAAGAAAGGAAATGGGCACCAGAAGAAAAGAGGCAAAAAGTTAAACTTTTAGAGATAATATCACTGGAAATATCGTCTACTGGGCCAACATCAAGGAGTTCCTGACTTTCAATGTTGGCCCTGTTTCTAGGAGACTTGGAGAAAGGCTTATTTAGCCTTTGCTTCAGTTTCCCCATTTGCACAAAGAGAATAGTCTTCTGTTATGACCATTTTTCAAAGCTGCAATGGATAAGACTGAGTATATGTTCTTTCCTCCTGGGTCAGCTACCATCTGAGCATCGTACAGTGCTTAATGTCCCCTTCTGAGAGAGGTTTGAGTGAGGCATGTCAGAGGATGACTTGATGACTTGGTTTCCTCTAGCAGTAGTTTGAAAGCTGATCTGTAGGGTTGGGAGTGTTTGTGAGTACAAGTAATGATCCATGATGTGTGCCACTAAAATTGCATTTCACTCTGGTTTTTAGAGAGAGGAAGATAAGGAGAAAATTGGAAATGTGGAGTATTTTGGACTGGGCAACTACCCTGGTTTCCCTCTGCAGTATTATCCCTACTATGGCAAACTCCTGCAGCCCAAGTACCTGCAGCCCCTGCTGGCTGTACAGTTCACCAACCTTACCATGGACACTGAAATTCGCATAGAGTGTAAGGCATATGGTGAGAACATTGGGTACAGTGAGAAAGACCGTTTTCAGGGACGTTTTGATGTAAAAATTGAAGTTAAGAGCTGATCACAAGCACAAATCTTTCCCACTAGCCATTTAATAAGTTAAAAAAGATACAAAAACAAAACCTACTAGTCTTGAACAAACTGTCATACGTATGGGACCTACACTTAATCTATATGCTTTACACTAGCTTTCTGCATTTAATAGGTTAGAATGTAAATTTAAAGTGTAGCAATAGCAACAAAATATTTATTCTACTGTAAATGACAAAAGAAAAACAAAAATTGAGCCTTGGGACGTGCCCATTTTTACTGTAAATTATGATTCCATAACTGACTTGTAGTAAGCAGTGTTTCTGGCCCCTAAGTATTGCTGCCTTGTGTATTTTATTCAGTGTACAGTACTATAGGTGCATACTCTGGTCATTTTTTCAAGCCATGTTATATCTGTTTTCTACTTTATGTGAGCAAGGTTTGCTGTCCAAGGTGTAAATATTCAATGGGAATAAAACTGGCATGGTACTTTTTTTTTCTCTTTGGTTTGACTCCTTCAGAGATAATGGCCCATCAGTCAGCATTTCTAATACACTCCATAGTTTTTTCCTGTGGTGTTAGGTCTTTATTTTTTTTCTTGGGGCTGGTGGGTGGGTGGGCTGTCATGGGGGAACTGCCCTTTAAATTTTAAGTGACACTACAGAAAAACAAAAAGGTGATGGGTTGTGTTGTGCTTTGTACTGAATGCTGTCTCGACATCTCTTCCCTTGTCCTCCAGTATGTTCTGAAGCTGTGTCTGAGATCTGGATCTGCCCATCACTTTGGCTAGTGACAGGGCCAATTAATTTGCTTTGTACATTTTCTTTTACTTTCCTTTTTTCCTTTCTCTGGAGGCATCACATGCTGGTGCTGTGTCTTTATGAATGTTTTAACCATTTTCATGGTGGAAGAATTTTATATTTATGCAGTTGTACAATTTTATTTTTTTCTGCAAGAAAAAGTGTAATGTATGAAATAAACCAAAGTCACTTGTTTGAAAATAAATCTTTATTTTGAACTTTATAAAAAGCAATGCAGTCCCCCATAGACTGGTGTTAAATGTTGTCTACAGTGCAAAATCCATGTTCTAACATATGTAATAATTGCCAGGAGTACAGTGCTCTTGTTGATCTTGTATTCAGTCAGGTTAAAACAATGGACAATAAAAGAATGAACACATTCCTCATGTGTGTGACTCACTCTTGTCTAAATGCCCCAATCTGTGCCTTCTTTATTTTCTATACTCCTAATTATCCAAGATCTTGAAGAAATACTGAACCTGAAAGACAAACACATGATTTCATTAGTTCATATGGAAGTTTGGCCTTTTCCACTTAACAGAGGCCAGGAGCTTGGTTAGGACTCCGGATGCTGGAACACCAAAGCACACCCCTTCCCCAAGAGAAGAATGAGTTACTCAGAGGCAGAGAATCAATGAAGCCATAGTTTAAAGTTCAGTTTGAGAACTATTTTGCAGTGCTACTTCACTCAGTTTAGAAAACATGAAATTTTGGTTCCTGCTAGTGCTAGGTATGTCTGTTTTAAGAAAGAAAAGCCAAGGTTGTTAGCAGTTCAATTAAAAAAAAAATGAGGTTAGGTTTGATATTCAGTAAATTAAGAAGGTTCATACTTTGCTTTTTGGTTCAGGGTTTGGCCTAAGTCCTTATTTAGCTATACTAAATTACCCTTAGAAGACAAAAATAAGCTTTCTGAAAAACACTTTCCAGGTGTACGTGAGCTGAAGATTTAGTATCACTTTACCAATGTGGGAAATACCCAAACTAAAATCATGGCATCATATTTCTGAAATTGAAACGTTTCAAGTGATCCTTGAAGCTGCATGTACGGCCTTTTCAGGAGCGCTCCCCTCCCAGAGACACAGGCCTGAAAGCCAGGGCCTTTTCTGGAATAGACCAGCTAATTCTGAAATGCCAGTAACAGCTCCAATTCCCACCTATTGCTCCACATTTATAATCCCACTCATCTGCTTCTTTTGTTTACTCTTTAAAAATATTACCTGAGACTTTGCTCACTCTAGAGCAGCAAATTGTGTGATGGCAAATTAATACCAAAGGAACAGTGTCAATTTAACAAAAAATAATAAAAAGAGCTATGGAAAATGGCACAACTGATTCACTCTAAAGTTTTTCGGAGCCCTCCTCAACATGGAGGAAGCATAGCAAAATCTATAAACAACACACCCACATTAAATGGTTTCTCACAAAGTAACCCACATTTTTATGTATACAGAAGGTATCATTCCTGTAACAGAAGATGGCTCCATTTCCCAACCATGATCCTTGGGGTCATATCACTGTTTGCAGACTGGGGAATACAGTTTGTATTCTTGGACTCAACAGATATTTATTGACTGCCCACTATGTGCCAAGCACTCTAACAGTCAGAGATAGCTCCACCAATGAACAAAACTCCAGTGCTGAAACATTAGTACATGTTGCAGGGTGTAACGAGTCTTAAATGTGTGCCATTTGTGAACAAGAAAGGGAATGGGGGCTTTAGGTCTGAGGAAAAGGGAGCACTTATTCAGAGTGCAGGGTAGTTTGTATTTCTAATGTATTTTTGAGGCTGTTCTAAAGTCACAACTTTGGCGAGACAAACTTCACTACATCCATGTGTACCATGTGCCTTCTGCTCTGAGTCATTGTGTGTATGTGCACATCCTCTGCCTATCACTTCTTCCAAGATTCTCTCCAAATCTTGCTTCCCTTAATCACTCCAGGCTGTGCCAACCATTTCCTACCCATGATCCTCAGGGTCATATCGCTGTTAGGAACCTGGGGAATGTGGTTTGTATTTTTTGACTCCTCAGATATTTATTGACTACTTACTATGCCAAGCATTCTCTAACAGCCAGCGATATCTCCACCAGGGAACAAAACTCTATCTCCTTTCCTCTGCAGCCCACATTCCGGTATTACTTGCATATTTCTGGCGCTCTTACTTCTATACATTTATGTCTTTTTTTTTCATATCATCAGTATTCCAACTCTTATTAGATGACACATTTCTTGGGTGGTGCCATCTACGTCCCTTGGGGTGTTACATCCAGGAAAGGGGTTTTCACACAAGTCCAGTCAATCGAATACTTAATTCTTTACACCGAATATACAGGGAATTAGTTTCTCTCAAAGGCAGGCTGAGTACCATGAGGAATCAAAAGCACTGAAATAACTTCCTGAAGAGAGAAAAAAGGATTCTCTTTTCAATACATCATATTCCCTAAAGGAAAATTGCAACTTTGTGCTAGTATGTCTTCAACCCAGGTTACTCTACCTCTTAAGTAAAGAGAGACAGGCCTTGGGCTCAGAACCTTTGGCAAGCTATATTATCTAGCCAGAATTTATAACTTTTGTTTTCATTTATTTTGTTACTTTTGATTAAGGACAAGTAATACTAGTTTTCCATTTATGGCGGTAAAATAAATTTATTCAAGTATAGCACTGAATGGATTTAAAGAAAAATAGTAAATAAAATTTCAGATGGTACTTAAATATGGTAAAAATCATGAAAGTGATAAATGGCTAAAATTTACGACTCTTAGCTTGAAAGTACAACATTAACTGAAGCCAAAGTTTTCAGTTCTGTACCTGTTCAGGCAAAATCTAATTTGAAACCTATCTATTTTAGAACAATAGCATGCCCTGTCTACTCAAACTGCACTTATTACCAGAGGGAACTGCTCCAACTCCAAATTAAAAACATTATCAGTGATCAGAGATGAAAGTCCAGTTATCAGAGTGTTTCAAAGCTCAAAAATAGCTCAAACTCCTGGCTTCTTAAAGAATTAATAACACTTTGATGATATCTGTGTATATTTGGCCCTTAGAGGGCAACTGAATGAAGTTACCTTTAGAGTCTAGGACTGAGGACCTTATGAATAGTGAATAGAGGGATACTATCCAAGGAACATTCAAGAACAGTTTTAATCCAGTGAGTAAAGAGATCTTGTCTTCAAATTCAACAGAGAAAACATGACTTTCTCCTTTCTTTTTTTAAGAGGAGGCTGGTATTAACTAGATGTGTTACCTGTACTCCTCTGGACTCTATACTGGGAAAGATGACCAGGGGATAGAGAAATAAGCCTGTTATTCTTCCATCTGATGGTTCCAATTAGCACCCATCTCCTGCCCAATGAGCAACAAAGAGGGTTGAACCGAGGCAGGTATCTTGGTTGATGCTTTAATTCTATATTTTTCTCCGAGAGACTTCCAGCATCAGTCTGTTCTGAGGGATTAAGTACCTTATTAAGGTATTGACTCTTACTGACTACAGAATCCAGCTATTTTATTTTGTCACAAATGAATTCCATATCCTAAGAAAAGACTCATGTTGTAATAAACTGTAACATAGTTTTTCCAGCTTGCCTCACCTCAAAGCCTTTAAAAAACTTGGATTTTGTAAAATCAGGAGCCTTGCAGGCAGCCTGTAAAGGGCTATCTTTTCCAAAGAGGGCCATCTTTTCTAATACTTCCCTCTAGTGTTGGCCCTATAACAGGTAGGAGGTGGCCCAGGGTAATTTGAAACCCACCTATTCAGCTAGCCTCAGTGCCTGATATAGTCATTACTCGGTCTGTATTTTGGTTCAAGTGCTTCAGGGATCAAACATTTCATTCCTGTGAAAGGTGACCTTTAATGCTCTACCTTCTTGTAGGAGTTCATGGTTATTAAATTAGCAAGTAACAGATTAATAGAACAGTCCTGCAGGAATGGACCCATTCCTTTTGATAAAGAACAGGGGTTCCAAAATGACAGTGGGTGAGGATCAGGCCCTAGGGAGGTTTTAATATTTCTGCGCTGGAGCCTCCGGGCAGCAAGGGAATAATATAAGGCTAACAGACACTTTGGGGTTGTACTCCAGAAAATGAAACATGGCACAAGTCCATACCTACCAAAACCTTTGTCTAGTGCTGGCCTTTCTCCTTTATTTTTTCATTTGCAAATTTCTCTGAGCCACCTAGTAAGTACCCAGATCTGACTATGAACTGGGAGAGGGGAGTATCCAGACAGACCAAGGTCCCTGTTCTCATGAAGTTTTTGCCTTTACACTCTAAATGTCTTAAATGACCTAAACTGTTCTCATCTATACCTACTTCCTTTTCCTCCTCCTTCTGCCGATCATTCAATTAACACACTGAGCACATCCCCATCCAGGATAATTCAAAGATGGGTGCAACCCGGTCCTCAGAAGGCTCACAGCCTGGGACAAGGAAAACCCATGTCATCAAATAAAATCACCACAGCGTACTAAGATAGAAGTGGACATAACTGCCAGTGGAGTCACAAAATATTTCATAAAGGGGTTAACATTTGAGTTTCAAGGATGAGTTGGCTTTGACAAAGATGAAAAAACAGCAAATTTTAGCTTAACATACAGTTGATATGCCAATGGGTAATGAAACTTAACTACTTAGAATATTAATTTGAAGTCTCCTGTCTTTATCACTATTAGATTTAAATAAGAATAGCTTACATATATTTATTACTTTATAGCATATAGTCTAATTTTATATATAAATCTCATCTCTTTCAAAACAGCTCTGTAAAGCTAGGCCCATCATCTCCAGTTACAGATGAGGATCCTGAGATAGACGTCCCATGATTTCCCCATATAATAAAATGAGGAACTTGCTAAGTTGGCAGGACTGGGACTTGAACCTATATCCTTCAACCCTATGCCACACTGGCTTTGTGATCTCCTGTGGAGTAGCCTCTGCATTTGCGTGTGACTGTATCTAAATTACCACAAATTCTGTAACGAGTTCAAACAAATGTAAATTTCCTGTAATTGCTTCAAGTGTACACTCAAGAAAAGCTTCCAGAGAATCTCCGTTTGTCCTGAGTACAGTGACTAGCAAAAATGAGCCTAGTGATCCTACGTTTGCCCGCCACTATCCCAGTGGAACTTCTAGTGTGGAGCTAGTATGAAATCTCTGCACAATTTAACAACTCTGGCTTTGCGTCAGAGTCTGCAGTGAAGCTTCCCTCTCCTGATGCCCAGGTTCCACCAGACAATGGAATCAGACACTTTGGAGGTGAAATTGTAGGTATTTTTCAATGGTTCTTAATATTGGTTGAGTATCAGAAATACCTGTGGAGGTTTTTTTTTTTTTGCTTTTAAATAAGAGTACAGATGTGCTCAAACATTTAGAGAATTTATCTATCCCATTGTCTTGGAGTTCCAGCCACAAATTAAAATACGTGTGCCTGTGATATTATACTAGATAGATTTTAAGATAAAATCTAGTCAATCTGAATTTG